TAGACGAACTGTTGCTTTCCAATGGCCTGACATCGTTCAAGAGTGCACTCAGGATCGGAAGGGGTTGGTACATTGATTTAGGTGCCCCTTCTGTCTGTAATCTCCTCCCGAAATTTCTAGCAACTCTGTCAGGTCCCGCCTCCAAAGTTTGTCCTCTGTCACCTGAGCCTGTAAGACTGCATTCTGCCGTAGTCCTGCCAGCCCCAGGCAGCAGACTGGGGGCTGCTCATGGCAGACGCTGGTGTGGTTCCCCATTTCGAGATTCCAATCTCCTCCAGTTTCTGCCTGCTTTTGGTTTCTTACTAGTTTCTTTCCAGTGATGGAACCATCTGCCTGTTTTTATAATAGTTAAAAACTATTCTTAGCAGTTGGGTTAAGACAGCTTTTCTTGTCCTTAATACTTACAACAACGTTTCAGATGGCTGGTGAAAACCTGTCTTCTTCATTGAAGGAGCTGTTGCATTTTAAAGGTCACCACAGTTCTTTGCTACAAGCAGGGTTTTAATTTATTCTTTTTCCTGTTTCTTTTGTGGTCTCAGGATTGTTCTGGAAGGAAGCAGAGAAGTAGTTGCACCCGCCCTGCTCCTGACACAGTGACCGATAACAATACAATGTGCCATACGCTTCCTAGTATGATTGTTTTGCAACTTTGGTCTTTTTTCTCATAAGCCAAAATATTTGCATACCTTGCCCCTGATTTGTATTTTACCTTCAACAATAGCAGAGTTACTTATCCTGAGCCCTTTAACCAGTTTGGATTTCTCCATGGATTTTTGTTCAGGTGTGACTGAGCCTTCTTTTCTTTCTGTCTTCTGTGTCCCTGATCACATTACTGGACTGGGGATATCGGGGTGTGCATCAAGGCAGGTGGAGCAAGCAGGTGGGTTAGGTGCTTGGAACAATCCTTTTGGATTAATTTCATTGCTCTAGAAATCATAGGGAACTTTGTGATGTTAAGGAAAGCCAGGTTTGGGCCGGCCCGTGGCTCACTTGGGAGAGTGTGGTGCTGATGACACCAAGGCCACGGGTTCGGATCCCTATATAGGGATGGCCGGTTAGCTCACTTGGGAGAGCGTGGTGCTGACAACACCAAGTCAAGGGTTAAGATCCCCTTACCGGTCTTTTTTTTTTTTTTAAAGGAAAGCCAGGTTTTACTTGTTCCACATTTTGGTTTTTTAGATTGTTTTAGAAGGAAATCCCAACAAAAAGAACTTTGGTCGTCTTACTATGCAGACAAAGAAGGTTATTGTGATTTGGATTTACCAGTCACAATTTTATTCCATGTCTGATTATGGGTAACATTATTGAAAAACAGTGTATAGGTGATTTGGGTGAGATTTTCATGCCTTTCTTCCTTTATTTTGCCTTGGTTTTTAAAAGTCTTAGTAGAACTTCACATCCTTCTACAAAGAGTTTATTTTGTATGAAATTCTTTGCATTGAAACTAGAAAGATACCAGTATTTAGTTGGAGAAAGATTGATGGATTTTAGAAACAGTTATTGGGGGGTTGTGGTGGACTTAAAGGAAAGGACTGAAAGATTTATTTACATGTTTGTCTTGCGATTAAATTTTTTCTCCTTCGCCACCATAGAAGTACTCTGGAAATAATTTTAGGTTTAGGATTCCAATAACAATTTGTTTTATCCAAGTTCTGTCTTTTTGTAGGAGATTAATTTACTTTGGCCACTCAGGCTAGAGGAATCTATAAAACTTCCACTTTTCAAAAGGGGAAGGACCCTTGTCCTTCAATTGGGGTGAGGGGGTAATCTCAGGTTGCCAGTTTAGTCTGAAGTTGATATTTGGTGCCTGGTGGTGGTTGTTGGACCAAATGTCCCACCCTGAGTCCAGTGGTTGTGTGACTTTCTGTAGACCCGCCACTTCAAAGTCATGTTTATTGTTTCCTTGTCAGACACGTGTTGTGTCAGCCTGCAGGTCATTGTCATCACAGGAGTTAGCAGAGCAGCATGCCTCCACCTCAATGTCGTACTGCTCCGTCACGGTCTGACGCAGGGCTAGTAAACCATGGCCTACGGATTAACACAAAGAATGGTTTTTGCATTTTTAAATAGCTGAAAAAAATCAAAAGAATAATATTTTCTGAGACATGAAAATGACAAAACTCAAATTCCATTGTCCATAAAAGGTTTTTGTTTGTTTAATGCCAGCTCATTCATTTAAGTGCATTGTCCCTTGGTATTCTCATGAGATTGGTCCCATGACCCCCATGGATACCAAAATTCACGGATGCTCAAGATCCTGATATATAATGGTGTAGTATTTGCATGTAACCCACACACATTCCCCAGTATGCTTTGAATCATCTCTAGAGTAATTATAATACCTACTACAGTGTAAATGCTATATAAACAGTTGTTATACTGTGTTTTTTAAATTCTGTGGGGTTTTTTTTATTGCTGTACTGTCATTTTTTATTTTTCTGAGTATTTTTGATCTGTGGTTGGTGGAACTGTGGATATGGAGGACCAGGTGCTTTGTCTATGCCTGCTTCCTTGCTGGGGTCGGGGGGCAGAGCTGAGTGGGTGGGAGACCACATGACCCACAAACCTAAGGCATTTACTCTCTGGCACTTTGCATAAGTTTGCCAGCTCCTGGTCTAATGTGTCCCCTGTGACTGCCTTCTTTTGGTGTCTGTAATGTCTAGCCACTGAGTATATGTAAAACCCAGCACATGCACCCACCTGTAGCTGTTGAGGCTGGTGCTGTCCTGCTTCTTCTCTCAGTTCCTAGAGACAGGGCAGGACCTGGTGGGAAGGGGAAAAATCCACCCCATTCCACCAGGCCCTGCTTCAGCTTTAGGGCAGAGGAGGAAAGAAAAAGGGTACTCTGGTTTAGTATACTGCGTGCTTCTGGAACGGAAATTGATTTGAGGGGGGAGCATTAAACATAGCTTTTCCATAAGAGATAATCCCTTTACCCTTTGCATTTAAAACTGTTAAACTATGGGCCGGCCCGGTGGCGCACTGGATAGTGCGCCGCTTGGGAAGCGCGGCGGTGCTCCCACCCGAGGGTTCGGATCCCACATACAGACCGGTTCCCGCTCACTGGCTGAGCGAGGCGCGGGAGCGACGCCGAGGGTTGCAATCCCGTTGCCGGTCCCCGGTCCGGTACGGGGGCAACACTGAGGGTTGCGATCCGTTGCCGGACACGGAAAAAGACAAAAAGACAAAAAAAAAAAAAAAAA